TATAAGCTGAATAGAGCAAGCGGTGTGCAGGCTGGTGCCAAGGGAGACAGCACATTGGGGAATGGAGAGTCATCGCTTAGTGGCGCTGTCAATTACCGCACAGAGTCAACCGCCAAGCGCGCCCGGCACCTGCACATCCTTACAATATCATGCCTTCACATCTGCTCAAACTTTAGTAAAAGTATTGAGATTATATTTAAATCTCGAGTATGGGCAAACTGTCTCGGTACTTTCTTTTACTTTAAGACAGCGCAACACAAAACTCACCCCTTTCACTGCTGCTGGTGAAAATTGGCAGGCATCGATGTTTGAGTTTCCCGCAGCAACGGAAACCGTGTACCCCTTGTTGAGCATCTTTTGGACGAGAGAGTTCATTAAGAGATTATACCCTCCGCCCAGGGACATTGATACCACTCCCTTGCCATTGCCGGAACCGAATTTTTGGACAATAGTATCCAAAGCTTGTGAGGAAACGGAAACAATTGCGAGAACTGTTAGTTGAAAAGTAGCCAAAATCGGTGTTCAAGGAAAGCAGCGTGGTGGTATTCACATGCTTGTTGATCTCAGTGTGGAAAGGAAAAGCGTTTAGTCTTTTTAAAAACAAAAAAGCCTTCCAGATATAAATGGAAGAAGACCTCTCTTCAGGTAATTTAGTCCCTTTTGAGTATCCCGTTTCCTTAAACCTGTGAGGGAAGGGGTGTGAATCCCGGTGGATGGGATGCTTTACGTTCTCACCAAGGATTTGTCCTTTGTACCTCACCAAATTTTGTCCTGCACGTCAAAAGAAATTGTCATGTCATTTTGTTTGTTCAAATTCACAAATCGTAACCCAAAAGGTTAAATTTCTTGCAATTGTACAATTAAACCATTAACAAAAAATATAAGTGATCTGTTCAGAACAATAACATAAACATTAACAGATAAAATATAACTTTCGGTGAATCCAACAAGGTACCTCCCTGTCGGCCTAGTCGTTTAAAATTGCAATAAAAGGAGGAATTGGACTAAAACGCCTAGTTCTAGTTGGCAAGGCCTTGTGCAAAAAAAAAAGAAAAAGTGTTCTCTTTTATACAATACCTCTTGAACCCCCCACGATGTGATTGGTGGATCGTTGATAACATGTATAAATTGAATTATTCGTTCTTAACAACTTTATTCAACCTGCCTGGTGCCCGCCCCATTTCGTATATTTCATTAAAAGTAAGAAAGAGGAAAGTACTATACGGAAATCAGTCTAAGATTAGAGCCTAAAAGTTGACTCCTGATGGCGCACAAGTTAGTTAGTTATTTCCTGAAAGATCCAACTTGGAAAAGAGCTTTAGAAAATAATTGCTATATCAATCTACAGAATTTGAAAAATTACTTGGAACTATAAGAGAAATATCCTGCCAAAAATTGACCCAACACTTCCGAAATTCTGAAAGACATGAAGAGCAGTGCAATTTGGCGGTCTCGTACGCAGATAAACATTTATGGCTTGAAATTTTATTGTAGTCTGTCGATAAACGCCAACAATCTTACTGACTGTTTTAGTGTATAATATGATAAGTACGGTAATTTACTTCTACGAAAGATTCCAATACCTCGCACAGCCTAAGAAATATGCGAATCAGCTGAACCGGACGAACGCCTTGGTGCAACAGTCCACGGAAGCTCATGTTTTTCTTTACTCTTGCGCTACACCTCGTATCCGAACATGAATACTGCAGCACGAAGAGTTGTCTTTTTGCATGAATTCCGCCGCAGAGTAAATTAATGTTTGGTGATTTTCGTGCCGAGCAGCGGCAAGCCTTAGAATACCTCCTGCGGGGTCACGACTTTCGCGTAAATTTGTCAACAGGCTACGGGAAATCTCTTATTTTTCAGGATGCACCTTTCTGCTCGGAGCTCCCCAGACCAGATACAAAGCCCATAGCGTTAGTCACTTGAAAAAAATTGTCACAGTCAGTAAAGCAAAGCCAAGCAAAGGAGAACTCGATCTCCAATTACTTTAATCAGCTGGGAATGAAACATTGCTGTAGGCCTTTAGCACGTCACGTATGTTTCAGAGGGAAATTATTAACTGCGCATGTCCCGTTTTTAGGGTAATTTGCATACGTAATGAGGGCCATGGGAATTCGTGCTAGGCCAACAGCTGTTCCATTTCATGAAATTTACGTCTTATTTTCACTTTTCAGAAATAAAAATTTTTGCCCAAAATATTTTCATGGTAAGATAAGGCCTTTGCCAAACGGATTTTTTTGAAAAAGAAACAAAAAAAGTACCCGAGTGGTCAAAAGTAGTGATTTTTTGTGAAAAGCTCATTTCGTACGCGGTAGCTTGCTTACGTTTTGATGCGAGTTTTGAAGGCTCAAAACAAAGAACTCGAAGTTTTCCTGAAGTTTTCAAAAGTGGGCTGTGGTGGAGAAAGGTGTGAAGGTTTTAGATTTGCTGACGGTTTTGCGCTATATACATATTTTCTCTTCCCGACCGGACGCATTTGCATATCGACATTACTCATCACCGATTCCGTACATCCCGCATAATCTTACGGCCTTGCGAGCGTAAGAATTCAGTGACTCGGGAACGAAAGACGAACACAAAAGTACAGTATGTTAGCATGACGTTTATTATTGAAACCGTGGTCTGTCAGTCATTATGAAATTGTCAGGGAATGTTGAACTTCACGGTATATATTCCCAGTTTTACATGTACTGTACACGCATGAACCGCATGAAAATGTACACCGGCTCCGTCGAGAATTTCCACACATATTTCCATGTACGCCGCGATACGCGTGTAACAGGCCGCAGTGTACTGTGCACGGTACGTGGCTGCATTGGTTTTGTGTATGTACAACACGTATGATCGCACTACGCAGAAGTATCAAATAATTATCACTCATGAAAGTCGAGCAAAAAATTTAGCTTGTGCGCATGCGCACAAACTAAGTGGAAGGGATGAACATTTGTACGTGCGGGGACGGTTACACGTCGTTCGTTCTGGTTCAGCTGATTTGCATATTTCTTAGGCCGCAATGTGTGCAGGTATTTACGTACGCAGGTACATACTAGGTCAACGGGCGGTTAGTGCGCGCTGCACTGCGACGAATGACGAACGCCTTGACCAAGGCTATTCTCTCCAGCGATAGACACTTACACAGTCTTGCACTGGGAGTTATTCCTAAAATTTGCAGTTAGGGGATTTAATTCAAGGATCACCTGCACAAAATCCAAAAATGTATAGCAGTTTAAGGACAGTTTTTTCTTTACTGGCTGCTACTATGTACGAGGTGAGCTACGAATGGGACTGATAAAGCGGAAAAGAGCACAGTCGAAACTAAAACATTTGTTACCCCGAACTGCTTTTTAAATATCACTTTAATTGATCATGTGGAAATTTTTCATTATGGTATATGCTGAGCCTTCCACGACCTTTCTCCTGTATCTGAATTTGAGGTACAAAGTTCAGTGTATGTTCAGTGAAAGGACAAAACTACGTAGCTGAGGCAAAACTACTTAAAAACAAAGTCTTGGAACTAATTAATTGCAAAACATACCTTTGGCAATTATAGAACCCCCGCACCCTCCATCGCACACTTTGCAGCTATAGATTCTAGCTTTACGTGCGATGCCGTAGATGTCTGCTCCAGCTGTGCCAGCGCAGTGAGTACCATGACCACCATGATCTTCACCCCCAAACAGAAGGGAAGCTCGTCCACCAAATGCCTGGTGATTGATATTGACGCCAGAGTCCATAATGAATATGTTCGCCCCTTCACCCTGAGCTATCAGAGAAAATGTTATTTTTAAAATGTTCAGTGTAGAGAAGCATTCAAAAATAGATAAGAATTTTACATTTCATGAAAGAAAATGCTCATGAATGGGTTGAAAAGGTCGATAAGGAAGGTTACATTCCCCCTTGAAGAAAGAAATTTACCAATGCAAAAGAAACGGAGGAATGGTATAACAGACACTTCATCCTTCAAAAATCCAGAAATGCACTCAGATCACAGGATCCTTAGTGCCAAGCTTAAGATTAGCTGTCACAATAACCAATTACTTCAGCAAAAGATACCCCAAACAGCAACCTTGACCTGATCCCGATCAGGTCAAAGACACTCAGCCGCACAACCGTTATGCAGCATTGTCTGATTTACTTCTTGGTCAAGCAGCACATTAGGCAAGAAGTTCTCCCTGAACTCCCACGAAGAAGGCGCAGAATCCCTTGGGATGACACAGATATAAAGGAGCTGAAGAAGAAAAAGCACAATCTCAACTTCTAAGCAATGCGCAGCCAGATCAGCTCGGAGATGTCTCAAATGCCCCTCTGACAATGTACGTTAAGACCTACTTTGAGGAGCAACATGCTATCGTTGAAAAGGCACATCATGCTGCTGAGTACAAGTTTGCTTGGGAAGTTGTTCGAGAAATCTCATATACCAAAATATCCGCACCTCCAAAGATCAAAGGGGATAAACCAGCAGGGGGGAAGGCAATCTGGCAAGCCCATTTCCCAAAGTTGCATGATATACAGTCTTCAGAAACTCTAGCTATTCGCCTATCCCAGGAAAAGTTTAAGACTTGCTACCCATTTTGATAGCTATGGATGAACTGAGCTCTATCTCTAAAGATATGAAGTTCAAAGCTCCTGGTTGGGACGATCTCCTGGCTATAGTCATTCTAATCTGGGGTTGTCTCAAACTATTTCATCACCATTATTGACATTGCTTTAGAAACCAGCATTGCTCCTCAAGAATGGGAAAAATACTCATCCCATTCCCAAGAAAGGTGACCTACGTGACCCCACAGACTATAGCGGCCTTACCTCTCTTTCAGCAAAGACGTACAACTGAACTTTGATTAGCCAGAACCACTATTGGCCCTGGAGCAGGCAGGTTCCGTTAGTAGTCTTCAAAGCAATAGGAAGAAGACCAAGTCCATGGCATGTAGTAAAGTACTACCATAATCTGACACTAAAAGACGATACCCTTCCTGAAATAATGCAAGACTTCAAGTAGGTTGGGGGCCGGATGTGAACCAGCTACAAGGACATTTTAATCAGGAAAGCTTTGGATTTCGGTGCAGCCAGCCAGTGATGTAGTCGAGTACTTT